CATCCCACCGTCCCCAACCCCTGTGGGGTCCTGGCAGGGCATTGCCACCCCTAAAGAACCAGCTCAGGATCAAACAGCCCCATGGAGACACCCCAAAACCACCCAGAGCCAAGCTGGGCTGCACCCTTGGGACACCCCAGTGAACCCATCAAGGATGGTACAGATGCAGCAGCACCCACACCCCAGCCCTGACCCTGCTGCAAGGGGGGGGAGAATGGGTCCCAGCCCCACTGCCAGCCCCACACACACCTCACTGAAGTCTGGCACCTCCAGTTGTGTCTCTGGAGGAGCCTTCACAGCGATCACCGTCTGCTCCTGGAAGCTGCTGATGGTGCCGAGGTCCTGGTAGGTGACATACGCCAGCGTGGACAGGGATGAGGTATAGGAAAAAGAGGGGCTGTGAGTGGGATGGCTCAACCTCTGCAGTCTGGGAGAAGCCAACTGGAGGAGAAGGGGTTCAGAGGGGTCCTCAAGACCCTGTCCTCCACCCCCAAGACCTTGTCTTCTCTCCCCAAGACCCTGTCCTCCCTCCTCACCCCCCCCAGCAAGGATATCTCTGGTTGGCTTCATCATCAACCAGCTGCCGGAGCTGCAGGGCACAATCCTGCAGGAACTGGTCCAGTGTCCTCTCCGTCCTGGCCAGCTCAGCCAGCTCTCCCCGCAGCACCTGCTGCTTCGCCGTCACTGTGACATCCTCAAAGATCCCCGTCCCCCTGCCAGTGGAGATGGCACCTGAGTGACAGCACATCCTACATGTCCCCAAGCTGCCTGTCCCCCACCCTTCCCCATCCCCGTGTCCCATGTCCATCCCTCCAGCATCACTGACATCCACTGGATGTTGTTCTTGGACTTCTTGCGGATGAGCTGGATGCCCTCCAGCACGTTGGTGATGTCGTAGATGCGTCGTTTCTGGACCTCCAGCACCTCAGCTGCCCGGTTGAGATCCACCACACCATCGGGTGACTCGCTCAGCAAACGGATGAATTTTTTGGTGAGCAGCCCCAGAGAAGTGTCATAGCGAGTCTTCTCCCCAGGAGATTTGGGGGCTGCAGGGAAACAAGACCCCCACCCCCATCCTCTCCTTAGGATGGGACATAGGATGGAGGTGACACAGGGCTGGACAATAGAGACCCCCTGTCCTCTTCTTGGCGTGGGATGTGGGATGAAGGTGACATGAGACTGGACATGAGAGACATGCCCTATCCTCTCCTTAGTGAGGGACACGGGATGGGGATGGAGGTGACACAGGGCTGGACATGAGACCCCTTGTCATCTCCTTAGTGTGGGCCATGGAATGGAGGTGACACAGGGCTGGACATTTTGGGGACCCCCTGTCCTCTCCTTAGTGTGGGCCATGGGATGAAGGTGACATGGGGTTGGACACGAGAGACCCCTTGTCCTCTCTTTAGTGTGGGCCATGGGTGGTGCCAGAGGGGACATCACAGCAGCTCGAAGAGGGGAGAGAAATGGGGTCTGTCCCCCTCCCAGCTCCCCCCCACCCCATCCCACCCAGCACCACTTACTCCTGGGGCTGGGGACCTGTGCCAGTGTCCTGCCCTTCCCCTTGGGCGTGCGGATTTCAGGGTCCTCCAGGTCCAGCTTCCTCTTGGCC